GACTTGCATTCCTCATGGATCCGCTGGGCAGGGTCAGCAGTCAAAAAGATGAAGAAGCACCCTTCTTCGAACAGAGTGATGTAACTTCGCATAAGCCAGGATTTGACTTAAAGCTGATTCTGGGTAGCTGCCAGGGCAACCATGTTTGATTCTTTGGCTGGGGCACCGTTTATACATGAATGTGCGTATATGTGCGTATACAGCATATATTTAATTAGGGTTACCCTGGCCTACAACCAGCGTCCAATTTCATGCCCAGGTTGGGCTTTCCGACAGTCCTTGAAAGGTGACATGAGACTTGCGAGTTGTCAGTTTTAAGACCCGGGAATCGTTTGGAAGCCGCCCGTTGGGAGGTTTGAGCGCCTCGACCCTAAACTCGCTTGAACTGCATGTCCTGGCGGCCAGCACAAGTGCTTGCGCGCCGCTTCATGACGTGCGCTGCATATTTTTAGTGAGCACCGGCGCTGACGGCAGAGAGTTCTGGTGCAGATGAAGTCTTCACGGGGATCCTGCATACTAGTAACTAGTAGCTTCAAAGACCCACTATATAGTAGCTTCTTGTTACTATAGGTAAATCCCCCAGTCTACATCCTGCGTTGGTCACGGTGAAGCGACCGATCTGCGCTCAGACCTGCCGTCATGGGCCGACTCTGTACAGTTTGGACCGCCACGTGCAGTCTTGCCCTATTACATCGGTCGGACGTCGTGAGCATTGCAGATGTTCGCCCAACTTCATGGAACAGTTCGGGCTTTTCATGTAGAAACCTATACTGTAATGATGCAGCAAAGGTCGGTCTATATGTTGGTCTCTTTCCCTTCTGAGTGGAGGCCTTGAGTGACTCTTGGACCCTAAACTCGGGGTGAGTTTGGGTGTGATGCCCTGGTAGCCATCCATTCGCAGTGTGTCCTAGTAGGACTTACCGACCTTTTGAGGAGACGGGCTCGAGCACTGGCAGGCTGCCAAAGAGTGGCAGTTGGTCAAGAAAGCGCCCATGGGCTGTGACCAGTGCCATTGAAACTGAATCGACGGTGGATAAACCACGCAGCAGACAGAATGAGTGATACACTCACTGTAGGGGAACACGATGTCCCAATTCTCTTTTTTTCTTCCTGTCTTTGCTTTCCGAGCCCCTATACATCCCTATGCTCTACGACGGGGGAAATTCGGGGTTTTTGCTTTCCAAGAAGGACGTCGCCACACTGACGTTTCCTTGCCGATTCAAGCGCAGATTTGTGGATGTTTTATGAAGCTTCCTCAATCTACTGTAGACCCTGATCAGAGGCCTTCGAGCAACCGTCATGACTACAGCAGTAGTCACGATGGGTCCTTGATGTTACACGCTCGAGTGAGACTTACTTGACGATGGCTCGGCATTGGTCTTGCGATCGACTGCTCCACGGGACCCGCAGCTGTCGACTGCTTTGCGCGCCCCGTTTTTCCCAGCCCAGACGGGTGTCGAGATCGATCTCAAGAGATCGTTGGTGGTTTGGGCCACTCGAGAGGAGGAAAGACCTGGCCCCGTAAGTTGAAGCCATACAGTTCAGGGCAGGTAAGGACCGTTGCTTGTCTGCACCTCCGCCCCCAGCGGAAGAGAGAATGTAGTCCCATTGGCCGTGGGGAATCTCGGGAGGGGGGTAGCCTCGTAGCCTAGTACCCCCTCCCAAGTACCCGATGTCATCTTCTCAATTCGATTTTTTCATGGTGGCATCCGAGCAGTGCCAGCATGTTCATCAGCTTTTCATTGCCAGCATGTCCCCTTCTTCTTCCTGGGCGAAGTCTGGGATTCGTGGTGCTTGCCAGACATGGGGTCCGGCGAAGGTGGTTGCGTTGCCCAGATCGAGGGACGACGTCGTGGGCGAAAAAGTCACCAGCTCGACCAAGTCCAGCAGTGCAAAACCACCACCGACACGTGATCGAATGAACTACGAACAATGGTTCGTTGTGCTCGAAGATGTAAAGAGCCAGGTGGCAGCGAGCCATTGATGGCAGGGTCCCAAGAGTCCTTGGTTGTTTGTTTGCCAACCCCCTACGCCGCTGCATGCACATCCATGAGCACACATATGACACCAAAAATATAATACAGTAATATAAATATACATTATATAATATACTGTGCTATTTTTTGCAACATGGCATACCAACACACTGGTGCCGCAAAGCAAAGCAACGTGTAGCAGCGTAGCACTTCGGGCAACCATGAATGAGGTGGTTTATGACCTACTGTACAAGGATGTTCCCGGAGCACCATCAATCTGAAAGCCTCGAAGAGTTTACGCCAACGCATTCCAGGTGTGGCAACTTTGACCCTGCACAGTGGTTTGTATCAACCTCCGGTCTGACATCCCTGAGATCGGAAGATCTCTGGACCCTGCCTGCTGCTGACATCGGAAGATCCCGCGAAGATCCTCTGTGGTGTGCGGCCGTGGAATGCACAGGTCGTCGGTGGGCAGCGAGTTCCTTTTGGGGCTTGATGACATGCGGCCCACGCATGTAAACATGACTCAAGGCGGCAATTGTAGTCAAGTGGGTGGAAATCAGGGTTCTCCACATGCCCATCCGGAAACCACACCGAAATGGGGGCTCGAGAAGCCAAACGCGTCTTGTCGGATCTAGGTGGCCAGGCTTGTTCAACCGAACAGAGAGAAACGTGATCCGGTGCGCCCTGATGTTGAACTGAGCATTCCTCCCAGAGGGGTCCAAGTAAACCCCCAGCAGACGCACCACATGGAACCCTGCGACTGGACCCGTGGTGGAAGACCATTTTTTGACGAACAACCCCAGTGGTCTTGGGGTTCTGTTTATCTGCAGGGGGGTATATATGTCCCACTGACTCTTTGCCAACCTATTCCTTGCCTGCACCGATTGGCGTGCCGTCCGCGGAACCCCAGCGTCCTCCGCCGCAACTCTGCCAAGCCCAGCTGTCGCAGAGGTGAAACGGGCGAGACGAAACGAGCGGCTGGCGGCTGGCACATCAGGGCGAATGGATGTGTCCAACGGCTGTGTTGATTTAGCTTGTTGACCGACTTTGCCAAGGCCCTGGGTAAAGAAGTCAATTGGACCCCCTTTGGCCTGCACTGACGTGGGCATATGTGGGCAATTTCGTGTGACATAACGGAAGCGACTTGACGCTAGTGTGGCCAGTATGGAGGAAGTCGGCCGAAGCCGGGCTTACTTGCCGGGCTTACTCCCTGATTTTCGTAAGTTAAGGTGGGCAAAGGTGTACCAAGATGGAGGACAATACCAGGGGCGGCTGATCCAATACCATGGGAATGCCAAAGGGGGATCTAGGGGCAGGCCCTTGCAGGTGCAGGGCAATGGTTGTTTTTCTGCCAGGCCATAGCCTGTTATACACATATAGAATCATATTATATACGTTTTTTGTATCACATATACCCTGGGAGTCAAAGACTATGCAAAGAATGGTCTTTGGGTGACCCGCAAAAATCCGACCAGGCCTTTCAAGATATATCGTCTTTGGACTTCTAGGGTATCTGTGTTTTCATGCACGCGACGATGCAAATCTCACCGTGACCAGGATGTTTCCCGAGCCTCATGTCACCAAGTCTCAGACCCGACGTTCTGAGCAACCGGCCGTGTCAGGGGCTGGATCGCTTCGCGGACTTCTTCCGGGCGCCGCTCTTCCAAAAGGAGCGGGTGGCAGGTGGCCGGCGGATCGAATCGGGGCTTCCGAGGACGTGGAGGGATTGACCTCATGGGTTCGCACTGGAGCTGCTGGAAGCGACCCCAACATGGGAAGAACCATGAGTTCGAACAGGCCCATCTGACCCTCCGCAGCCCAGATGGGCCAGGAAAGGTTGGAGGACGATTTCTGGAGATGACCTTGGGGCCTTCATGGGGCGGTCGAAGTTGGATGGCACGTGCCATTTCCGTCGCAGTCGTGTGTCCACTCTTCTGGGGAATTGGCCGTGATGGAGGTGGCATGGCCCAAGAATGAACACCTAGGACCTAGCACCCTTCAACACCCTTCACTGAAAAGGCATCATGGCCAATGGCCAATGGGGTTGGTTGATATGGACTGCACCTGGCCAACGGCCTGGGCGTGGACGCAGATCGGAGTTTCCCAATGTGGGGCATCCGCGCCCAAGAGCTGTTCTTTTTTCACAAAGCACGCAACCTTTCGTGATCTTATTGAAAATAAGTCCAAGAGGGGAAGAGGTTGAGTTTGATGAATTGGTGAATCCACCGTAAAAAGACAACATAATGTATATCATCCTGATTCTGGCCCACGTGGGGCAATACTGCTTGCTTTATGGCCTTCACCTATGACCCATCACCGAGAGAAGATGACTACTTGAGTGAGCTGAGGCCAACGGCTGCAGGATGGACATGAGAAGCAAAGAACAGTAAGATCAGTAAGTGTAGACAGTAAAGCGCGTATTATACACACCGATGAAAATCACACTTAAGTAAAACAAATACTATACAACAAGAGTTACGCGCACACACACAGATATATACATATATATATATATATATATGCACAGACCATACAGATACACACAGATGAAAGTTGAGGTATATGTGCAAATGCATCCCAAAGCACGCCCTTTCATTCTTCCCTTTATTTTTCGCATACTTGACTGAGAATGCATGCCTGCACGAGCCTAAATATTTTGAGACTATTGCCGGCCAATGAACAAAGCCACATTTAGGGCTTGAGACCCCGGAATGGGTGTTTGCAGTGCAATCTTGAGAGAGCCCATGGAAAATGTCCACCGCCAGCAGTGAACACCGTCCCTGAACTAGCAATCCACTGTGGACGAAGCCTTTTTTTTTCGCCCAGCTGGACTGACCAATGCTGGGCGACGAGGTTCCTACAACCCACTGATATGATATAAATATAGACCTTATTATTAAAAAATTGTCTGTGCAGGATCTTCGGTGACGCCTCATCACCGCGGGAAAATGCACCCCCCACGCCATCTCAGTCACGCCTCCTTCCACGATCTGATCCGCGCGGTGCGCGTGTTTCCCGGCCATGGATGAGCGGGCGCTGGCGGTGAAACGCTGTGTGTCGGACATCGAAGTCGCGGCGGCTTGGGCGGCAGGAAGACTGCGGCCGAAGCGGGAGCGGGCAGTTCAGGGCGTAAGCCTTTTGAAGCGAATTGGCTTGGGTTGAAGTAGTCAGGTAGAATTTAACTTCAGATGTTAGAAGGTGCGCTTCTAGTGTTTCAAGTTTCAACACTAGGTGCTTCTAGTGCTGGGTGCCCTACCAGTCATGTTATACACCATTGTTGGCAGGCCCACCATGCAAGAGACACCTGAAGGTGGACAGCCTCACACCGAAATGGATCCAAATGGACTCTCGTCCGGACGCACCACGCTCGGTGCGTCGAATTCCCAGGACTTCGTAGCGCTGGACTTGGAGTTTTCAGGACTCTTCCTTGATGCAGCGAAGAGCGGAAAAGTCTTGAGCTATGAGGACTACTTCGCCAAGTGCGCGGAGAGCGCCTGGGATTCTTTTCGTCGAGCGGGCTGGGTCTGGTGGGTGGGCGCGGTGGGTGGGCTTTAAATGTTTGCTTTGTACCAATGAATCTGGTTTTGAGGAGCCGGAGTCCAGACTCTCTAGCATAGTTGAATAGTGTGTTTTTTTTGGTCTTGGGAGCCACTAGTTGGGCTCTAGCAACTTGTCCTAGCACCTGGGTTTGTAGGAGCATGCCCTCAGCGGGGGATGCACACAAATGAGTCTGAATCAGCAAGCAGGTTTAATCCAGTGATCCAGACTCCTTGGAGTCTGACTTCGGATCTTGACGACCCCTGCACTGGGCACAAGGGAACATAGACTGCAGGACGGTCTCCCAGGTCGGTGCCCGGGTCGAGCCCGCCGTCGAGTCTGCCGCCCGTTTGCCCCTTTGCCCAGACCTGTCTGACCCAGGTGTTCCGAAGTTTCTGGCACTGCAGCTGGGCATTTGCTGCGCCCAGCAGAGGAAAGAGAACAATGGCGGTGAGACGGATCGCAGCGGCTGGGATCTGCGAGCCTTGGAGGAAGGGAGCTTCCCCCAATGGAAGCGTTGAGCCTTGCACAACACATCTGGAAGTTGAATTATGACTGGATTTTTGCAGATAGTGTCGCCCATGTTCCACCATCCCCCACCCATGATTGATGGAGAAAGGGCTAGAAGAAGAGTCAAACCCAAACCCAAATCCATGGGTGAAAGAGCAAGCCTTTTAGAAGATGACCATCTTAATCAGGAGGTTGATCGCTAGGGGCCAAAATAACATGCCCCCGCAGCACATTACAGCAATCCTGTAGCACAATTGAACGTGGAAGATGCCAAAAATCAAGCAAGTCCAGGTCCCTTGTCTCTGTTGACTTCTTCCATCTCTTTCATTTATGACGTCGGATGCCGCTCCAAACTACGGCTTCGTGCCGTTCTCCCCACACACCAATGGCGCCGCCACCGAAGCCGCCGCACCAAGGGACGCACCAATTGGACTTGTGGCCTTCAGAGCACCGGGTCTTCTCCGTCGACCTGCAGTCCTTGCGCTTCCTGCGCTCGCACGGCTTCGCGCCCTGTTCCCAGCGGGTCGGGAGGGGGGGGGAAGACCAAGCCAAAGCTGTTGGATCAAACACACGGAAGAAGAACATGTGGAAAAGACATTTCAGCTTTGTCACTGGTCCCCCGCTGTACCCTACTTTGATTCAGTCACCTTGTGGGTGGCGACTGGAGCTGGACGCTCCAAGAGTAGGGGATGGGGTCTGGATGGATTGTGGGCCGCATTCGAGGGGTCGAGTAGTAGGGTATGACCTCAAACATCCTCAAAAACTTCGCTCGCTATCCAAAGCTGCTTGTGGTCGCGTGGCGTGGCTTTACAGCTGTCTCTCTTCCACTTTTAGTAGCCCACTGCAGAAGCAATTCCGGATCTCTTGCCGAAGCCCCTCACCGAAGCTCATGACTTCCCAGGATTTCAACGCTTTTCTGGAAAAGGCGCATCCCTACCAAAGGTGCGGAGCTTCTTCTTCACCGGACCCGCTTCGTGAAAGGGCGCGACTATAGGATGCCACCGGGTCCAGCACGGTCGGAGTGAAAGAAGCAGCTTGAAAAGCCCGGTTTGGGGGTCTCCGTCAGTCTGTCAAAAGCAGGATTGGGAGAGCTTGGGGCTCTGGACATGGAAAGCCTTTCACTTCTGGATTGGACGTGGGTTCTATGTAGCTCTTCGAACGTCCTCTTCGGTCTCTTGTTTAGAGAAGGAGTGGAGACTTCACCGGATCACAGGAGGAAAGGCTCCCTGGCTCCGCCTCCAGGCTCCAGAAGAGCGCGACGAGCGCCACCCCGAAGCCGCTGGGTGCGGCACAGGTGATGGCGGCACTGCGCACGGCACAGGTGCCGCTGGTGGTGCACAACGGGCTGTGCCTGGGAAGCGAAGATGGGCGGTTTGGTTCGGGCGAAGGTGTTCAGGAAAGATAAGGCAAGGAAAGAGTAAGAGTACTGAGTAGACAGGAGCACCTGCACATGAAACTTCTGAAACAAACTTGATGGTCTGGCAGGTTCCCTGTCGCACAGGGGAGGCCCTGTTCGGATCGATGGGAGAGGCATTTGGACTGTGACTACGGCTTTTGGCTTACTACTCTTGGACGTCCATCCAGAGAGGTGCTCAAGTAAAGAAGGTTCATTTCGAGAGGAAGATCACCCAGTTCCTCAAGCACAGGGAATCCCTTTTGGCGCGTCTTTCACTCCAAAAGCCGACTCGGCCACTGGCCGGATCGCTTGGTCACTGGCCGACCGCCGGTTCGACCGCACTCCGATCAGGTCGGTCTTCGACTGCCTGGTCTGGGTCGGTCGGGTTTTGGATGATGAGGTTGGACCTGCTGCACTTGTACGACAAGTTTCTGGGTGACCTCCCGGAGGACTTCGAAGACTTTGGGAAGGCACCGGTTCGGGTGGACCTTGAGGATGTGGCGGGTGAATCGGACGGCCGGTTGGATTTGACCAGTGAGGATGGGAGGCAAAAGCCGTCGACGGGCTCCAGTTGGGCGCCACCGGGCTCCCCCAGGCTCCCCCAGACCAGCGCGGTGCCACCATGCACCCAGTCACCCGCCCGTTGCTGAGCCAGGCTTGGTTGGAACACTTCCCTTTGACCTTCGACACGCGCTTCGTGGCCCAAGAAGGGCGCTTGCAGGTTTTTAAACATCCAGGCGAACCGCGAACACCGCGTCTCCACCCCGAATCCGCCAATCCGTACGGCGGTTCCAGCCGTGACGGGGCGGTCGTGGAACAGTCGGGGGATTCGCTGGAGGTGCTTTTGGTTCCCATGAAGTTGTTCAGAGGTGGAACCAGCAAGTCCAAAGTTGTGGAAGAGGCAACTCTCGACTGGACGCAGGTTAGGTGCAGTTCCTTATAATTTATACTGATTATAACTTAATTATACTGGTCCCTTTTTTGCATCATTCGCGTTTGCATGGGGAGCGTGTGGAGTACTTGCCCCACCAGGAGCCCACCTTCCCATTTTCGGCGCCAGCTACAGTAGAGTCTAGAGCAAATGCTCCATCAATCGGACAGCCCCGTTAAACGGATCGCAGCCGGCCGGTCAGCACCTGCCGCCACTCGCCGATCCGAAGAAAAGACCCAAAAACACGTCCCTAGGCTTTCTGGCCCACCATTAATTTAATGGGCTTTACCGAATCAACTAAGGATTTTACATGATTTTACTACAAACGCCAGGTCAGCCATTTTTTTAATGGTCTTGGAAGTCTAGGGAAGTGTTCCTTTGAGGTGGCCAAGTTTCATATGAATTCCCGGTGCTCCCTCTTCACCCGTATGTTCAACCCCCCACAGAACCACTGCATGAGATTGCATCGCAACATCTCTCGATCTCCGGACTCTCCAAACTCTCAGGACTCTCGGCCCTGAAAACACTTCCATGTCCTCCCATCCGTCACCCGGCAGCCATCTCCCGTCTCCCGACCCGTCTCCGGTGCCGGTACCAGGTGGTCTCAGTCTGCAGACTCTCTTCACCCACCTCCGGGCCTCGAGCTCCCTGCAGCTCCGGAGCCCCGAGCCGACCTCACAGGGTGCGTCGCACTCCGCCGGCTACGACGCCTATGTGACGGCGGCGGTGTTCCTCATGGTGACCGACCGGGGTCGAGTCTTGGGGGTGGAACAGGTGGAGAGGGGCGCCAACCTCCAAAGAACACGAAAACTGGGGGCTTTGGCCCGATTTGTGCCAGATTTGGTGAGTTCATGTTTCGCTTTGGAAACAGCCCCCCCTTTCTGGCCTTTGATTCAGTTCGACGACGACCATCTCGTAGGAGATGGATGCTTGGCTGCGCTTCGACCGGAAGAAGTCCGAAGCGCCGGCCGAAGCGCCGGCCGAAGCGGCGGCCGAAGCGCCGGCCGAAGCGCCCAGCCAAGCGACGACACTGGAGACGGAGACGGTGGAGATGGCGGTGCAGCCGACACCGGGAGAGGAGGTGGGGAGGGGTTGGATGGATTTGGGGCGAGTAGGGTGAGAAGAGGTCAGGTGACAAGGTGGGGTGGGTCTCCTAGCTTCACTTATGTGGATGGCGCCAAGTGCCGCTGACCACTGCAATTCTGTTGGGCTGACGACCGTCAAAGAAAAGACGTTCTCGTGCCCGCATATGAGGCCAGGTGGCCTGGCCAAAGTCATGTAGTTGCAGCGGTGGTCCAGGGGCTCCCGTCTTTGGCGTCCTCATACGGAGAGAATTGCTAGTTCGACATTCTGAACAGACGTACTTGGTGAAACGCCCGCCATTTTTTGGCAACGATCACAGAGCGCGAAGCGTGCCCTGAACATAGATGTCTGCCACACCGCGCGGATAGGTTTTCACCACCCACACCGGACCTGGTCTTTTTGGATGAGCCTGTTGCTGGGTGGCCTGGGTTTTGTTGTTACCAGTCCCACTCCTTCGTAGGGAATCCAACCAAGAAGAGTCAAGAAGGGGCCTTCAAGAGGCAAAACAGCCGGAGAGAAGAACTCCACAAATCCAACTCCCTGACCACGCCCTCCACTTCTGGCCATTGGGCACGCAAACGCGCCACACGCGCCACAGCCACATGGCCACACGGGGATCTCTGCAAAGAAAGGGCCACCTGTCCATGAGCTGAACGACATGGGGATCAACCGGCCCCGAATTCGTCCTAGGACGAGGGCTGGCAGCCTGCGCGGAAGCGTGCGCGGAAGGCCCGAGCGCCTGCGCTGAGCGATCCCAGTGGCTGGACTGCGAGGACAGTGGCGCTGATCCCGTGGACGGGTGTAATGTAAACACGGAGCGACAAAGACCCATGTAGTATCTGGATGTATCTGGTATCAACATGTATCAGCACGAATTCACCATTCAGAATGCAGAAGAATCAGTGCGATGGCGTGGGGCTATTTGACTTGCTTCCTTTTAAGAAGCATTTGGGACGAGAACCTCCGCGGCAAGCCACTGAAGAGGTGAACTAAAAGAACACCCAACAAAGAGGACAGTCCTGCCAGATGTGGTGCCCGTAAACATCTGGAATTCTTGACGAATTTTGATGGGTTTCTCCACGGCCAGGGCAAATCCCTTTTTGATTGAGGCCTCTTGGAGAATCACAAGATCTGCCGGCGCTTCCACAACAAGATTGCCCTGGTGAACACCTCCCCGGGCTTCTTCGTCATGGGCCCGCCCAAGGGATGAAACCCGCCGTCCAACGGGCGGGGTCCGCGTTTTGGAGGCCAAAAGAGGCCGACGGGGCAGAGTTGTGCAAGGTGAGCGATCTCAATCTCATTGGAGGTGGAAGTGTTCTTTTTTGGTTTTGGAACACCGTCCAGCATGGGATTGATGTGAAGAAGCAGGGGTTGATGATATCATTTTTGAACTTTTCCACGGGATGGTCCGCAGCTCCACCCTGTGACGCCGCGCAGACGACGAAACAGGAGTTTGTCAAGAAGGAAGTCCAAGCGATCAACAGCCCGGACCTTAGAGAGCATGGATCATCACGTCAGGACCCAGTCTGTTCTTGGCAGACATAGGCCGGTTTGTGGGGGACGATGGGTACGTATGGACCGATGGGGGAACAAGCCATTCATCGTCTGTATGGGAATGAGAACGGCAAATCCATGTTTGGCTTGCATAGGTTTGATTGTTCTTCATCTTCGTGAGCATCCGGGAACTCTCCGGAGAAGTTTCACAGCATGGGGCTGGCAAGTGTTGGTTCTTCCTCCCTTTTCCGCACCCCGAGATCCCTCAAACGCCCCGCCTGTGGTGGACTGGGTCGCGAGGCGAGCACGAGAAGAACGTGCAGAGCAACGTGCGACGGATCTTCGAGCTCCTGGAGACTCAGGTGCCAACGCTGTGCTCCCGTCGCGCGGTCATTGGAACTGGGCCGTTCCTGTGCAGAAGTCCAAGACCTGCTCCTTTCAGGCGGAGGTTCGAGGCCAACAAGCAGGGGAGGAGCAGATGTGCAAGAGCAACTTCTTTTTCTCTCCAGGTTGGCCCTAGTTGTGAATGAGTATGATGGCAATTCTTCTTCACCACGTGAAGTTCCCGGGGACCACTCCGTGCCAGATGTGTGCGTGCCAGACTTTGCACGGGTTTCGCCGCAGCGCCGCCACAGGCCAACCCCGCCAGCGTGGTGGGCCGCTTCGCGACGGGCAACGCCCGCCCTGCCGTGTTTGGACTTGCGTGCCGCGTCTCGCTTCGCCGTGGACGGCGACGGGCCAAGGGCTGCCAGTGGGACATTGGTTTTTTAGATTGAGCGACATGCCGAAAGAAGCCGGACCGCTGGCCGTGCAGCCCTGAAAGCCATGTCGTTTCCTGAAGAACGTTTATAAGCCATCAACATCATCCTCCTGCATGTATCCTCTACAGAATGCTACGGGTTGGGTACTGATATAAGGCATTTTTGTAGAGAAACTTGTCTTACATTCCCAGGTTTGTCATTTTGTAGAGGAGACATTTCGGAGCTTCTGGAAGATGCTGATTTGCACGTTCGCGATTCTGTAGAAACATGGTCATGGAGTCATGGTTTTAAACTCGCCGGTTTGCATTTTGTAGAAAGGCAGATGGTGAAACAGACCTGACTCCAAACAGACGATTAAAAAGGCTCTACAAAATGACACTCTCTACAAAATGGGTTGTCAGGTTTCTTTGCCAATTTGCACTGTACCTGACTTGCAAAAGTGGTACCCTCTACAGAATGCATCACGCGCAGTTTCTACATGTTTGTAACCACATTTTCCAGAACCTTCTCATTTTGTAGAGAGTGTGTCCCTGTCCAAAAATGCCCTTGTGCGTGGGCATTTTGTAGAGACCCTGTTTTTACTTTGGATTTCGAGTTTGTGATTCTGTAGACCTTTGGGAACCACTTTTCGATTTATATCTACAGAATGCTTAGCACAACCTCACCTGGCAAACTCACAGGGGGATATCAATTCAATGTAGATGGTTGATGTCTGAACAAACCTGCCCATATTATTTGAATGAGATTTTACAGTCCCAATGAGTTGTTGTTCTTTTTTCATCCACCGTCTACCTTCAACAGACGGAGCGAGTCTCTTCTCCCATCCTTCCGTCTTCGGCCTCGGCGCCGTCAAAGGGGGGGACGACAGTCCGCGACCGGTAGATCCGGTAGATCCTGGGAATCCTTGGCCTAATGGTTTGGAGTGCAACCAACCTCCGCCATTCAGAAGCACAAGACGGTGAGGGATATTGACTGAACCATGAACAGACTCAATAAGGATATGCGCTGGCCATGTCACGTGCATGCGCATGAGCGCGCCGCGGAGACTCCCTGCGACCGACCCTCTTGAACCCTTCAGTGATCCCCAGTCGCGCCGTTCTGTGCGCTCGCCAGATGGAGACGCTCTATGAGGGGCCTAAGCGTCAGGGGGCCCAAGAGGGGCGTCGCTCGGCCCCTTTTGGCACAGGCCTTTCCCTCCGAACCCCGCTCCGTATGCAGACGACACCATGGGACGGTGGGAGGGAAGAGACCAAGAGACCAGAGAGGTGTTCATTTGACGGGAGACGTTTGTTGGTTGTTTGGACTCAAGGGCATGAGTCCAAAACGAAGATCTGGTGCTCTTCCTGCAATAGCATGCCAGCAGGCATGCCAGTTTCCGACTTGACAGGTCGCCCTATCTGTTGAATTTTTGGAACTGGTGACTCGGTGACCTGTAGACTCTTGATTGTATAGCATTACTTAGCTTAATAACCCACCCCACATGACGAGGCTTTTCAATTCCAAATGGGGGGGGTGATTCATCAAGAGCCTGCAGCCTGCATGAAGATGATTGAATACCTGGACCTTCTTTCGGGGTGTCCTGTCTGGAGGTCCCTTAGTAGTGGGCTGGGGCTTCCAGCCAGGTGACCCCGACATGAAGGTGCCTCCGCCCTTGCCGGTGTCTCCGCAGCCACGAGCAGCGGTCGACGGGGCTCGGGTCGCTGAATGGACTGGAACCGGGTCCTACGGAGGCGGGCCGGGTCGAACCGGACGGCTGGGGCGGAGACAGGGCGGAAGAAGGTCACGTCGTGGATGAGAAGACATGGGTTTTGAATGAGAAGACTGAAGACACACCAGGCATGTGCTGGTGGCACGTGCTGGTGTTGCAGTTGGCAGGGGAAAGCATGTCCTTGACCCGCGGAAGAAGATGTCACTGACAGATGTCACTCTATGAGTGTGGTGGCATTCCCCCAAATCGGTCGAGTCAACGCTACCGTTGGAGCATCTGTGCTGTTTCGCCGGTCTCGTGTCCGCCATCCCGAACCGGTGCTTCCCGAGATGGTCGGTTGCTCGGGGGAGGGTTGTGGCCGCCCGCTTTCAGGAAGGTCTTCCGACCTGGTCACTTTTTGTATGAGCCATCCGAAGTCCGTCAGGGCACGGCTACAGCAGCAGCTCTTGCAGCAGTGCCTGGGAGTGCAGAACGGAGCCACGCAAACCGGTCTGACGCAATGGACTCTTTTTGTTCAAAGTGGGTAGCCCAGAAGGTAACGGCGAAGAAGCGGGTCACCGGGAATCTGCCGGGAAACTGCGGGCAACGGCAAAAATGACACGCTTTCAAAGGAGAATGGCACATTGAAAAGAACATGCATGGATAATGAAAGGACTGCAAGGGAAATCGAAAAGAACATGCCGGGGTTTAAACTTGAAAGGAACATGAACCGCTAGACATTGAAAGAACGTGCCAAGATTAATTTTGAGAAAGACAAAGGAAGACCAGGTCACAGGAAGCAGGTGCCTCAACGGGGAAACTCGGACACCGCGGTTAAGCTGGCTAACAGGGACACATATTGTATAGGAATAATATATAATATGCACCTAGTTTATCCTAGTTTCAGGAAACGAAAGGAATATATTATAACATAGAATATATTACAATATATTATATCTATATCTATATTATTCTATATTATATATATTTTTATATATGCAAGGATTGAAGAAGAACGTGAAAGGATCGTGAGGGAACATCAATTGAAGGACCACGAACACATTTTTAGGGACAACGAAAGCAAAACATCATAATATGATAAAGGTTCAACTCGCAGAACCGCAAACATGCACTGTCAAGCGGACTTGTCTCAGTCGGCCGCACTCGATCTTCATATGTTCTACCCGGACTTTTGGCAAGATGATTTTCGCATGGTTTCTACTCATTTTGCTAGATGGTTCTGATTTTCCACAAGTGAAGTGCCGATTTGGACATCTACCTTGGAGGATCAGGTGCTGAATCAAACGCGTCATGAAGATGATATTGAAGCAGCCAAAATCAGGTGCCCAACTTCCAATCCAAGGCTGCAAGAGAACTGCCACCTGTATGAGATCTTGTGCCGATGTGAGCAGATCATTCAGCAGGCCTTAATCCAGAGGGTGGCCCTGCAATGTGACCAAGCAGAGAGGACACTCCGATGCCAGCCAATGCGGGTTGCTCTTTTTCGGTCTGTTAATAATACGAGGCGGCCAACGCCCCAAACAGAATCGTCCGATCCAAACGCAATGCCAACAACCCTTCGAGACTGGCACGACTGACTTACTGTAACTGACCCGGGACAACCGACCTCGACTGTAGCATCACAGAAGCCAATCAAGTTCAGAGAGGAGCAACTAAGCCTGCCCATGCTGCCGTGCTCAGGAAAACTAGACAACTCACCCCATTGATGCCGCGAGGGTTCCCTTCCGGATTCGACGGACCGACAGTGGGTCACATACCAGGAGCATCCTGTTTGGGTGTCCTGGCTGGGTGTCTCCCCAAGGAGTGGGCTAGGTAGCCCAGCCACTCCCTGGATGGTCCCGGTCGATTGGACCCGGTGTCTGAGAGATCCGGATCGCTGTCGTCCTCGTCCCATGGCCCACTTGGACCATCCGGGTGGGTCAGGTGGCAGTGCACGTTCCGATCTGGTGGAATGGTTCGGGTTCTTCATTCACCCCAGCTTGGGGGTCGGTGATTCTGAGCAAACGCCATGAATCAAAGACAACAAGCCATATTGTTCATATCACTTCTAAGAGCAGAGACTGTTGAATGTTTTTTTTGTTGCTTCTGGCGGTTATGCTGCAACATCTGGAGCAATCAAGAGGGGCAGCGTCCCTTGCGGTCACAGCAATCCCCTTGCTTTTCAGGACGGCGCTGCAGCGAATCCAGCAGCTCAACGCAACGGAGATCACTGAGCCGATGGCCACTGAGCTCAGCAAGCCGATGACAACAGCCAAGCTGGTGAAATTCCAGTAGAGCAGAAGGTTTATATACAAGGTCTGAGTGGAAGGTTGGAGATCGTGGTCCCCGTGAGATTGATGATTGGCAGTTGAAATCAAAGATCTACAAAGCCGTCAGTCATAGCTGTTTGAAACACGGCGAGGTGGAATCGATGAGCGAGTTGTGGATCGGGTTTCGATCTGAACTGTTGTTGATCTTTGCCGAGTAGGGGACCACGATGAGATGCATACAAAAGGACCACGAATCCATGCCGCATGGTAGAGCGTAAATCGGCATCCTTTTGACCAGAACTGGTCAGGTCCATTGGCCTTTCCGAACTGGTCGTTTCCGAACGCCCGTCCGTGCTCGGCGGAAAAAACCGCCGCGCCGAGAAAAAACCGCGCCGACTCTGGGCCCTGGAGGTGAGGTTTCTCGGTCGACCCGTTCCCAGCCGAACGGGAACGGGGTGACCTGGCTGGACAAGCCAGATACGGTCGCCGTCTACGGTTGCCTAAGACGGACACTCATTGGAAGCGCGGCAAGACTTCTTCTATTGGTTTCTGTGTGGTCGTCAGGGTCTACAGACGTGAAGAACAATAAACAGAGAGAGAGAGAGAGTTTATACTATAACATGTTATTAACAATTTTGCATTTTTAAATACATGTGCAGATTCATCTTGAATGAGTGATTGGGCCCAGATGTGAAGGACAATCTGATGCAGCTCTTGAGTGGGAGTTTGATTGCATTTCGGTTCGTCCTCCCATCCCAGGAATGCATCCAGAGCTGCATAGTTTTGTGTAGAGACCCCCGCCCCTTCTCTCTCGGCGAGACGGGGAGTCAAAGCACAATGCCCAGGTGGATTCACAAAGAAGGACCCCTCCAAGTGTTGAACTTGCAGCAAGCACTTGATGTCTTGCACATCGTCTGTTGCTTTTGTTGGGGGACCAGTCTGCAAGGCCAACTGGGATGTTCCGTCCTCATTGGGCAAATCTGCGACTTGATCCTGCTCGAGCAGCCAAACCTTCAAGGTGATAGATGTTATAGTCCACCTTCACCTCACTAAAACCAAATAGGAACGGCCTCCAACCTAATAGGAATGGCCTCCAACCTAAGATGAACGGCCTCCAGCCTACTAGCGATGGCCTCAAACCAAAAAGCGATGCTCCAACCTTCTAGCTATGGCCTCCAACCCAATTAGTAGCGATGGCCTCCAACCTACGGCTTTCGGAGCCCCCCCTTGGGTAGTTGAAAGCGCTGTCGGGATGTCTTCGGAATGTCTTCGGGATGTCTTCGGGAACGACACCCGCAGCAAGAGGTTTTCGCCATTGGCCGCCTTGGCCCTTCCAAGTTGCCACCCAGTGGGTGGATGGGATGAAGTTTCAGCACCCGACCATCAAGCCCATTGGCGGAGGTCGGGGTACCGTTCCGAATGTTTCGATCCACGTGCACAGTGATGCGCGGTGAGTTTGGAGCTGGGCGGCAGTGATGTGCGGTGCGTGCTACTTGGCAGTACTTGGATTTCTTAGGCTGTGTGCCATCAACCGACGATCTACGCTGTGAGTACGTCGACGACAGCCCTCTGCTGCCCTTGCCTTTTCGCTGGCCGACTCCATGCAATCCAATCTATGGGCAGGGCTGACTCACCACTTGACTGGACTTGAATCCAATGAAAATCCTCCGGTTTGGCCCTTGCATTTCTTAGGCAGATGCCCCCAAAAGCACCTCTCACCTAACCAGCGGCTCGAATCCGCCAATTCATCACGCATCCTGAAACGAAGAGGGTGTAGACTATCATGAACAGACACTTAGAATATGAAATCTATCCCCGTTCCGATTTCCTGTCGAATGGGGTGTCTCAAGTCCACTACGTTGAGGTTTTTAATATGTTGCAAAAAAAGAGGTTGAGGCACCTCTTTTTGTAGAGATGAGGATTTTGTAGCGCAAGGCCTTGATGCTGAGATATAGAGGATGGGCCCCTGCAATTTTGTAGTGCAGATTTGTCATTTCAAGATGCTTATATCCGATGTTGGGTACGTCCATAATGTAGTGCAAAAATTTCTGCAGCCATTTTGGTGACTCAAAATCGGGTTCATACCATTTTGTAGTCAAACACATTGCAATATAGAGGTTGGGTCCCACATTTTGTAGTGCAGATTTCCTGTTTCTTATATGATACTATCTATGTTGGGTCCAAGCATTTTGTAGAGAAGCAGGGTTGGGTCCTTGCAAAATATATAGTACATGTAAATTTGTGATGTTGGATCCCCAGTTGTGTTGTACTACAGAATGGGGGCCCCAACCCCACCACCCCAATTGGCAGGGGGATTGAAATCTAATGACATCTATATGTTCCTTATTGCATTATTTGTTTGTATTCTAACTGTTCGTTTTTTAGTATATGTTGTGTATGTTGTGTTGGGGGCAGGTCGACTGGGTCCGCCAGTCCAACCAGTCTGCGTTGCACGGCACTGCTGCGCTGCACGGCACTGCTGCGCTCAGCCAGTATTGGTGTTGAAGGAAGAGTTCTCCGGAAAACCACCCTGGGATGAGTCTTTCTGCCTTGACCACCCTGAAACTCTGCCTTGATGGGACGTGTTCCAAGCAGTTTTCGCGATGACTTGATGGGACGTGTTCCGGAAGAGATTCCAGGTGGTGCAGGATTTCTTCCAACATTACCTTACGGAACTTCCAATGACTCATTTGGCCCCTTCCAATGACTCGTTTGTCCGAATCCACCAGTAAAAAGGGGCCAAATGAGTCACTGGACCAGTCGAGGCCGTATGAGTCACTGCACAGCTGCTTGGCTTGAGGACCGGAGCAGCGCGGATCAGGGTGTTTCAGGACCTCAACGACCTCTACGATGGTGCTTCCTCAGACCATCGACGGTGGACACCACCGGTGCCCGCCGGCTGGTCGGAAGCGGGATCCCATCGCCGGGAGGGATGTCATGACACTTGGTGTTTTCCATCAGGTTTCAAAAGACCGAAGTTCTTGTGCATCCCCGTGTCTGAACCATTCACAAGGCACAACATCATTCCCCCCAAAGAGGGGTCCCCTCATGGATTTCTTGCGGCGCACTTGGACCAATTCAAAAAAGGACAAATTTCTCGGCGATGGGATAATACAGATGTTGGGATAAGTTGGGATGAATAAGTTCCACTCTTCGAAGCGTGGCGTGCGATCAAAAAAAATATCAAAAGAAAGGGCCGCGACTCGTCTGGGAGTGACGAAGTGACCGGAAAGCGTGTTTAGAGGAGCGCCCAGAAGAGAAGGTCTACACGATTCTACATGTCTCTTCACGAAGCCAGAAACCTCTCCAGAAATCCAGGTTTTTGATGGTTGTTTGCAGTTTTTTAGATCATTTCGTACGGGTTGTGACCTCAACGGGCATCCTGCAGTTTGGCAAGTCCAGCCTGGTGCTCTGTGAGTCTTTGAGAGTGCAGCCTGCACGCCTGGGCCAGCCACATGGGTGTGGGACAGTTAGCTGGCAGTTGACCTGTTTTTGTGTCCGTTTTCTGAGCATGTGGGCCCTGCTGAACCTCTGCACGAGTCCAGCGTGTGTTCGGACCGCCCCGGTCCCATCCGCCCCCGGCGCTGTCCGAGGAAATGGAACCTCCCCAGTGGATGCCTTGAAGTCCGAACCTCAGCTCGGGCTGTTGGTCTTTGGTCCACGCGGCGGTCCACGCGGCGGTCCACGTCCGGGATGTGAAGCAACTGCCCAGGAGAGCCAGTGTTTGGAGGTCATTTGTTGGACGACGGTCCGTCCGACTTTCTAACTGGGCATCCTGACCAGTCACCCAGGCGCGAATGGCTCACATTGGTCAATGAACCTGGTCCAGTGTTGAGTGTTGGGACCTTCGATGGGCCAAAAGCGCTCCCGGAATACCTTCTTCCGCCATCACACATGTGCGCTTAGTAGTGCTGGCATGGACGATCTCACCCTTTTCTTGGCCATGCTGCAGAACGAATATCGTCAATTCGTCCTTGAAAAATGACCCCCGACCTCTCGCCACAGAACGACGTGGGGCCGTCCGATGCTTGCGTCACGCCGGTGATGCCGACGGCCGACAGGGTTTACTTCAAAGAGCGCTACTGCCCCGAGCAGATGCGCCTGGTGCCCGGGCCCCCGGGTCGTCGGGCGACGATGAAGCGAAAGCAAGGACGATGTGAGCGAAAGCAAACGAGCGGTTGTTCAATGTGCGCCAACAAGCTGCAGTAGTTGTTGTTTTGGAAGAGTGCTGTTTCTTCCAGACGGTTGCAATGTTCGTGCGGGGTGCTTTATAGGCAATTGCATGCCATTGCCGTTTATAGGCCGAGGCCCGGAGCCGATCGCAGGGGCGGAACGTCGCAAGGTGTTTGGGAGACGTCATCCTTTCGGGGCCATGCCATCCACCGTGTGCCATGATGGTTCATGCGGGGGAGTGTGCCGTCCCCCAGAAGTTGCTAGATGGAACTCCCATCGAAAACAACGCCCCCCTTCAAGATAGACCTAAAAGACCTGTCTTTGTCCTCTATCAGCTATCAGCTATCAGCCCCGCTTCGTAGCGGCTGCTCCCGGTCTCCGTGCTCGGCCCTCTCGAGGTAGAGGGGCCCGAGGGGCAACTCCTCAACGCTCCCCAGGACCTTTGGTCCACAAAGCCTTTCAGAACAAGTCCACCTGGTGACCAAGGCGGGCAGACCGGACCGGAAGGGCAGACCTACGGCAAGACGTTTACTGTAGAAGTTCGGTTCCGTTTTCGTGGACGAGCTGGAGGAGTTTCCAAGAAGGACACCGACAAAGTAGACCGTTGACCATTGAGACATCCACCATCGAATCCGAGAAAAAGACAAAGCAGTTACTGTATTTAAGGGCGTTCCGTCCATGCGTTCCGTTCCGTTTTGGAGGTGAAGGGGGCATTCACCCGCTGGGACCCAACTCGTTGTGCTTTTTGGCGCAGCGTTCTTGATCGAGAAAGGGCACGTTTCAAGACCTTTCAAACATTCACATGCGTGGAGTCCTCTCACGAGTGATCTTGAAGCAAGGGGGGGCTCCTTGAACCAGGTCGGCAAGCACTTCTAAATTCGATCGCTCCAGAAATGGCATTTGCTGGTGGAGCCGGTAGGTTCGGTAGGTTCAAGCTTGTGTGTTTTTTGGGTTTCTATTTCTTCAGCTCCGGGCCCCGCATTCTGAGATCTAATGTGCCAGCCAAGAAAGAGACACCATTGGCTCGTTTTAAATGTCGCCTTCCTGCGTTCCAGGCAGGCTTCCAAGCCTTGCCGTCTGGTGTGGCTTGGGCCAGAATTGATGCCGGACCTGTGTGTTTTGTGAGTATTGGGAATTGGGATGAAAAGGCGGACTTGGAAAAAGCAGGTGGGTGAAGGATGTGGGCCCTCTCGCAATACTTATACTTAAGGTCGGTTGGCAGTTGATGTACTGCAACGACTTAAGGAACTTGGAACATGGTCAGATGCAGGGGTCCGTGTTCTATTGTTGTGGCCGGGACTCAAGGTGTCTGGCTGACCTCAAGTGGTTTGCATGCTTCAGCATGGCGCATGACTCATGAGGCTCAATCTCTAGAAGAAAGAGAGAGGTGTGGGACGGGCAGTGGTGAGCAGGATAATTTGTCCATGAACAGCATCAAGTGTAGCACAGCTGATCAACCACCGCAGCTGCAGAATGTCTTCTGCCGAAGTGATAGCTTTGGGGCTGCCCCAGCACCTCGCGGATCTCGATGTTCCCTGCCCGTCAACCTACATTTAGACTTGTGGATTTTGCGGCATATCGACAAACATTGGATAGTGCAGGCGCTGAAGGTGCCCACACCAACAGTGGAGATGGTTTTTTGAAGCGGCTCCAAAAGGAAGACTTACACCCGGAAGCATTAACACATATACAATCATATACAGTATTTGAACGTTTTCAATCATGAATTCTTGAGGTAGGTGCTGGACACAGCTCTGACTACCACAAGATACCACACGCAATGGAGAAAAGAACAACATTGACATCTACACCCAGGTCCAGAGACTCACATTGGAACAGTGAGTCCACGGCCGCTCGGGTGGTGGAACCTGGGAACCTGTGGATCTCGGGACCTGGGTGCTCACGCACGGCGGCGGGCGGCTGCCGCTTGAGGCCGCGTCCTGTGCGAGCGATCCACGGCGCCAGGGGGGCCGAGTTCGGGCGAGGGGGCATCGAGCGGCGGCAGTCTATAGCAGTAATTATCAGATGGTATCAGTATATATGTTATATAAATAAATATATATATATATATGTATGTATGTATATTTATATATATATATATATATTTTTTTTAGTATCACATCAGAAAAAAGATTCAAAAGGAACTCATTAGCATCATTCTTTTGCACCACACCAGCATCCTCACCTTTATCACCTCGATGATCGGGTCAGCAACAATCGGGTTTGTTTGTGTTCTGGTCACCATGTCACTGTCTGTTCCGCTTGTCAGGAGTCAGGCGATGTGCAAGCACACCGTTTCGGCCAAATCGATGGATTGGATCCATCTTTTCTTGGCGCATTCCTTTGCCTTTTTCACCTCCAAGTTAGAGCTCTAATCATGAGCTCCCTAGACCTCCTTAGGCCCCCCATCTTCAAACCCATGGCTCCCTCGACACGTTCTCACACCGACGGCCCCAATGGCCCGACGGCAGCCGAGGCTTCGTGGAGCCCAACCCCTTCCCGAGCTCGCGCATGGGCCGGCGGCCTCAGCGCGGCTCTGACCCGCATTGGGAAGGGTGCCCGGGGTGGCTGCCGGTACGGTACGGCATGCCATGGCCGCCGTGCCATGGCCTTGGAAGTCATTTGATATTCTTATATGGAGATTATGGAGGGGTTATATAATCAAAAATGAGTCTACACTACTCATCTTCTCTACTTTAGGTCTCTACTAGACTTACTAGCTTCCGACTCGGAGCCACGCGATGCGTTGCTTTTTCGAGGCCAGAGCCTCCTGGTCCAAGGCTGGGGTGATGGGGAGAGGATAGATACTTCGGTGGTGTTGAACTAATGGATGGACTCTTGAAATATGTTGACTTTGTGGCCCAGACTAGGTGGGCACGTTGTGAAAATCGAAGCTGGAAAGATGAAGATGGCCACCATCTTGAGCAAGAAGGGCACAGTCCGTCCTCATGGTTGGTGCTTGGTTTGGCAGTTAGGTTGGTAGTGTAGACTTTCCAAAACCCCAGTTGGTCGAGACAAACGTCCTTGAAATCCTTAAGAATTGGTCTAGACGACTCTGGGTGAAGTGTGTTTGGGAGCGGTAATTCTTTCTGTATCAAGGTGCAACTCTTAGACTAGGTTCCGTTGATTGTTCTGGGGCTCTATGGTCTGCCTGGTGGGGTTTGTTGATTAATTGGGGGCCCCTGGCTCCCAGCAGGGGAGAGTGAGTCCATCAGGAACAAGTAAACCACCTCCCTGTAGGGATAGGTTTCTTTTTGGATTGATCTATTCCCGAGCCTTTGCAGCAGTTGTAGCAATAGCAGGAACACGTTTTGGGCGCCTGGTCCCTCTCGCCACATCCACCAAGACGCGCCTCCGCCACATGTGCCGGCGCGACAAGAGGCACTGAAGCCACGGGGTCTTTGTGGTTGCACTTCCAGTTGCCGAGCCTGGACAGGCGGGTTCCGAAGAGCAGGTACATGAGAGCAGACCTGAGAGAGCGCACAACCTTGGCGAATAGTAGTGGGTCCTAGAGCAGTGAAACTGATGCTGATGTATAACACAGATAGAAAGTGAGGGAGAAAGTGAATGAGTGAGTGGCCTTGTGGACATGAGCTTGCTGGCAATCGCAATATATATATATATAATCTGACTTCCAAGCCACCTCAAGGCATCAAGAACTGAACATCTCACTTATGGGACCTACTGTATGGCGGAAGCTGTTCTTAGTTATGGAACTTTGAGGGCCTTGTGCTGGGGGGGGCTCCACAGCTGTTTGAGACAAACCTCAAGATCCTCAGGTTTTCTCTTGAGCGTTTCGCCCAACTGGTGTCCAAACTGCCGTTTACCGTAGTTGTGCCCCACCGATGGACCACTGTAACTCAGCACATGCAAGCATGCCAACACCCCAACACCAGTGTTTAGTTAAAGAATTCTTCCCCTCCTTCATTTGGAGTGAGAATTCCGAATCAATCGCGCACCATCTTAGACTCGAAGCAACAGTGGCGCCACCGCTCCTCGTTTGCGACCCGCTCTGCGGGTCCGGCAGGGAGTACAGAGCCCAGCCGCTGACCTACTTGAATTATGTCGTCAACTACGGCGGCCACTGGGCGGTTCGGCGGTGGGTTCGTGGGCGTTTTTGGGGCGAAGCTCCACGAGGGGGGGGGGGGAAGGGGAA